CGCAGAAAAAGCACAGGATAGTGTTGGATGAGAGGGGTGTGCACCTTTTCGGCGGTCGGCTTAGTTTCGCATATTCGGATATCGGATGCTCTCTATCGGCCACCCGCTTGCCCCCCTCGTACCGCGACGGGGATGTAATCCCCTCTACCGTTGTCCCTCCCCCCGTTGTTCGCCAAGCGTCTCCGCCTGGCGTTGGCACTGGCCATTTCGCCCAAAACCCCCCTCCCCCTTCTCAGATTTCAGGATCGGGTGCAGGGTACGGTCCGAGTTCGAGCTTCCCGTCCATCGGTACTGCCGGTGTTGTACCTTCGGCTTCGAGCATCCCGTCCACCACTTCCGGTGTAGTACCTCAGAGTGATGTTTCCCCGTCTATCGATGTTGATGTAGTGCCTACGTCGATCCGAGATTTTCAGCCTGCCCTAGCCGCAGCCATCGCCTCATCCGATGTCCTGTCCCCCTCAGTCATTAACCCGAATGTGTCGCGAGAGATAGAGATCATGCCCCTTGAGTCCCACGATAATTTGCCTTTGATGGCCATGAGTATGCTCTTGGATGTAGGCTTGACGAACGGACAAGACTCGGTCCCACCGGGTGACTTTTATCCCGACCCATTAGGCGTGTGTGAGTCTGTGGAGCCCCCCGTTGCGTTCGCTGTGATGCAAGACGAGTTGGACGCGCTCAAAGACTTCGTTGCAGAGTCCCGTGTGCAGCAAGATGAAGGTCCCCCCTACCTTTCCCATGCTTTGGCAATTATCGCCCCCGGTGGTCCAGCGTTCACTGTAGGAAAACCCACGTCCACCATCGACATTAATTTGTTCCACGCTTCCACCGGCCACGTGAATGAATTTTTGATGCGGGAAACCGCCAAGCAGCAGGGTGTTCAATTGGTGGGGGAACTGCAGCCATGCGTCGGCTGCATCGAGGCGAAGGGCAGGAGGGCCCCGGTGCCGCGGCGTGGAGTCACCCGCGCGGCGGTACCGTTCGGCAAGGTGCACATCGACATCACCGGCCCGTACTCTGAGGCGTTCGATGGTTCCCGTTACCTGATCATGTTCGTGGACAGTGCGTCGCCGTGGCAACGGGCGCACGGCATGCGGGCCAAGAGTGACACCCTGACGTACACGCGGCATTTCCTCGCCGACCTGAACGGCAACGGCCCTCTGGGGTGTTTCCGCACGGGCAACGCGGGGGAGTTCACGAGTGCTGCCTTCATCGCGTTCTGCGACGCCGCTGGCATCCGGCGCGAGTACACCGCGCCCGACACCCCGAAGCAGAATGCGGTCGTCGAAAGCGCCATCTGGCGAGC